AGAGAGAGAGAGAGAGAGAGAGAGAGAGAGAGAAGAGAGAGAGAGCACAAAGGGGGAGCGCAGAGAGAGAGCATAGAGGGAGAGCACAGAGAGAGAGCGTCCTTGGGGGTAAGAATGCATAAGTGTTGTTGTGCGTGAGAGGGGGAGATAGAGCCAGAGGAGAGAGAGAGGGACTGAGACCGAAAGTGTGAGTGAGTGGGTCAAGGAAAGAGGGGGAGAATAGGGAGACAAAACGGAGGAAAGAAGAGCGTACTCGCTGATCTTCAGAAATACACGGATTCGGAGTCCCCGCTCAATTGATAGGTCGCAATATATATAACAAAAAAAAAAATATATATATATATATAATAATAAAAAAAATAATTAAAAAAAATAATATTTTCGATCAGATTTTATTGCTCCACTGCATTGGTGAATACTCGAGGTACAACCCTCAGCGATCCCCTGACATTACTCTTTCTCATTATGTGAAGAGTAATTGAGTCGTTGCTCACAACAGAAAAGGGGGGTATGGCTGAGAATCTTCTCATACACTAGCGAAGGAGCAATATTCCTTTTGGTTCATTTGGGGGGAAACCCAGCCCGCATCGAGCAAGAGCGAACTGCATGGAAGTGTACCCATCCCTATTACCTGGCCATTGATACACCCAAGTGGGTGGAGGTGCATCCAAATTTATGTCATATTAATTTGTTTACTCGAGACAGCGCACGGACCTGGTCAGCACCTTGTGTCATGATGGAGTATACAAAGCTTACCAAACATCGGGGGAGAGTGAGAGAGAGAGAAGAGCGAGAGTAAGAGAGAGAGAACAGCAAGAGTGAGAGAGAGAGAACAGCGACAGAGAGTGAGAGAGAACAACGAGAGAGAGAGAACAGAGAGAGAGAGAGAGAGAGAACCGGGGGGGGCACATCCAAGGTTGACTCCGAAAACTCACTACTGCGCCCGTAGATAATTTGACAGTTGACTGTTGAAGCTCACTGTTGCGGGAACTCGCTGAACTGTCGATTGGTTGTTGAAACTCACTCTTGCTTGAACTTGCTGAGTTACTAGCCAGCTATTGAAACTCACCGTTGCGTGAACTCGCTGAACTGTTGATTGGCTGTTAAACCAGTCGGCTGTTGAAACTTACGGTTGTGTGAACTTGAGGTATTACCAGTTGACCGTCGAAACCCCTTGCTGTGTGAAGTTGCTAAATTACAAAAAGAAAGAAAAAGAAAATCGAAAGCGTGATAGGACGCCGCAAGTTTCGCTTCCTGCTGGTCGCCGAGGATCTCGGAAGCGGGCGCGGCGGGTGACAGACGCCGTTGCCCTTGGCTTCGGCGAACGGTAGGCGCCCCTCACCGGGTTTCCTCACAACGTGGCAGCGAACACATCGGCCGCGACGCGTGGCAGCTGCCACATCAGCATGCCATGAAGACAATAGTCAGCCAGCCACCATGCAGAGCCAGCATGGCGTCGTCGTACTGACCCAAATGCCAGCGTCCAGCTAGCGTCGCAGCGTCGAGCCAACGTCGTTGTCAACACATGAAGTCAGCATTGACGCAAAACTGAATGAATGTCAAAGTCAGAAAGTCAGCGCTTATGTAGCGTCGACGCGGGGTCTGGACCCCGGATGCCGCATCCCTCAGCCGTCAAGATCTTAGTCCAAATGACGGTCCAGATTGGCCTGAAATCGAATTCCCTCTGGTCTGGAT